GTGGCACTTGACAGTTACAAGAACTGATAAACATGTGGCAAGTGACACATGTTAGACATTTGTCATGTAAGGTCTGCATAGAGACAACACATTAATTTGTTAAGTACTATTAAAAGGATTTTTGCCTCTGTAACTATACCAAATAAGCAAAATGCCAGGCACATGGCGAATACATAATTAACAATTAGTTGATGAGAGATTTGTTGCTTTAACAAGTAGGGACGTGTTGGGTTTACGGTCAAGTTGCCTGATAGTCATCTCACTCAAAGTTATGTTGCCTGAAACTGCAGTTATGTCACCCGAAATGCTGTCGAGTTATGTTGCCCAAAATTTTCTCATGCTAAAAAACATTCTAACATCCTGTTACAACTGTATGCAACACATTTTGGTGCTTGTTTTGTCTCATCAAGGCTATAAAGAACAAAAAATATTACACACCTATCATACTAACCTTATTTTATATTTAATCTGTGACTTACTTCTACATAATAATAATAGTAATTTAGTTACATAGCCCTTAATCCTTAGGAGTCCACAAGCACTTCACATAAATGACAGAAACTTAACTTTAAAATTATGTACAATCAAATATAAAATGTTAAGATCCCAAACATTACCATAAAAATTAAAATGTACCTTAATTGAAATAATAAAATCGTAAGAGGATAATCTAGTCTAATCTTAAAGTCAATTATTAAACTACGACATATTTATTGCTCTGGTTTCCTCTCATCGTGGCAAATTCATTTCTTTGTGTATTTACAACTGATAAAATTTCAGGCGACATAACTCAGGATTTTGGGTGACATAACTCTAGTTTCAGTTGACATAACTTCAGGCTTGATGAATTTTGGGACGACTTGACTGGTTAGGGGCCATCGACATATTCACTTTTCCCCCGCTTAACATCAACAGGACGTTTAGGGGGGAGGGGGTAAGGCAGCAGACATTAGTGCAGGGCGTTTTTGGACAAAAGTAAACTGATAAAAATGTGTGGAGCGGTGCTCATGACATTAAGTTATGACAAAGCAGGACCAATTAAAGAAGTGAGTGTAAATTGTGATCTTTTTATAAAACTCTGCTCTTAACTGCCAGCAATATTGTATATTTTACATTGTGATTTTTTAAACTCTATCCTAAATCACCAATAAATTTTTACAATACCAAAAATTATGGTTAGTTTGCTGATATTGTAAATATGTTTGTCAGAATACAACTGAAATCTTTTGTCAATACATAGTTTCAGGGTCAACGTTCTTTTTTGAGAATCTGTTCACAGCCTCATTGGACAAAATCCAAGGCAATCATTTTCAGTTCAATCTAACAACAAATGACAATACGTTGACTTGGATTGAATAACCAGGGTTCTCAATAGAAGGCGGCACCCGGCGATTGATCACCGCTTACTTTGGGATTTATAGCCGCTTACTTTGTGTTTAGGTCGCTTTTCTTTGCTTTGTTTTGACACCTCTGGCTTTACTAAAGAGCCTCCTACTTTATCAGTGATCACCTCCTACTTAAAAATCTATTGAGAACCCTGATAACGCATAAAGTCGTTAATGTTTATGCATGTAATGAGAAACAGTCTATCTTAACAGTTTTCTTAATAACACTAGTGGCAAACCCAGTTAATTTCCTCGAAATCTTCCTCACTAAGGTATATCAGTCTACAGATATTCTTAGTTGTACTGTAAAACTCTGTGATGAAGTGTGCATTAGTGACACAAAACGCGTAGGAGATAATAAAACAGTTTTTACAACTCAAGAAGTTCGCAAAAGTGCTGTTCACTGGTTTATCCCTTTAAAAATATAATGAAGTTTCTACCACATTTTAAAAGCAGTATATTGTGTTGATACTGTTGATATCCTCACGTAAGTGCATGACAGTATTCCTTCTGGAATGCAGTGACTTTTGGGCAAGCAACATTTCAAGTGAACATTTAGGAGGGGGGAGGAGGGGGGTCTGACCTAAACATCCAGTTGACGTTAAGCAGGGAAAAAGTGAATATGTCGACGGCCTCTTACTAGGTGATGCCACTGTTAGAACCCAGCATAACACCATCGCCACATTTCCCCTTCACACATGTGGAGTTGGATACCACCATGGCCACTTTCAAAGAGGTTGAGGAGCATGGCTCTCTTGTGAGATCTCCCGGTTGGTTGAAAGATGGGCTTCTCTGGAACTGACTAAGCCATAAATTAAATGATTATTTTGCAATTTTTTCCATATTTCTACTTAAGGTTGTTTGGGGGGGAGACCATAAACGCGTGTCTTTAGATTTCAGGGACCAGACCCCTCCTAAGGACAGCGGCCTTTTTAAAACTGGGGTTTGGATTTTTTCTTCAAAGAAGCTGACAAAATTTGGACCCTTCAGACAATTTTTCAATGGTGCCAAAAAAGAAAAACTCTTCGGACTTCATTTTTCAACAGAAAACCGACACAAATTGGAAGGCGAAAATACAATGTAAATGGAACATCCCTCATATCATTCTCCTTGGTTTGATATTAGGGTTGCTCTCAACTCAGACGGTTTGTTCTTTAGTTAAAAACCAAAATCAGGTAGTATCCCTCACATAAATTCATCCTTTAACTTACATCATTTGCCCAAGATGAACCGATGAGAAAGTCTGCTTTGGGGCTAAACTTGAGCGCGCTAACCGTGTCGTCTGGAGGGGACTGTACTTCAACATCTTTCATTGGGTTGTCGGTATTTCCGAGACCAAGGGAATTTGTTGTGGTAGAAGTAGAACCAAACGTCCCAAAGCTGGAAGTACCACCGAATGACGAGCCTGTTGAACCGAACATGTTTTAGTCGTCGATATAATGCTGACACTGGTTGAAAATGATCAAAGACGGCGGAAATCGGAGGTACATAACAGTCACAATATATGAAGTAGATATCTTGCTTATGGGTAAGCCGCTGATTTTAGCGAAGCGCCAGCCTTGGACCAGCCTTACACTGTTCCGGGACGCGGACGCGCGGCGCCACAATGAGCAGCAGTAGCAGGGCGGAAAAAGGTTATCCGCCCTGAGCAGTAGTGGCAGTGGTGCCGCAAAAGAAAGTCCTTCGTATTTGCAGCTGATCCAGAAGAAAATGACAAATGCCAGGGGGGGATGGACACGATTGGAATTGATTGAGGCGTTGCCAAGGGAAAAAAAATTTTGAATGATGAAATGATGAACTGCTTGGAAAAGAAGCTTACTTTATTTGACGAAGCGCCACCGGCTTAAGCTTAATGAATTTCCCGAATGAATGTTGGCGTTTTAACAAAGCACAAGGGAGACAAAGAGTCTGATTCATCAGCCGGCCTGACCCGGTTCTGTACACAGGCTGCAGTCCGAGTCTTCGCGCACTGTTCGCGTAACGCGCACTATGGGGAGAGGTTGTGAGAGAAGACTGGGGACGGGTAAGCGGCAACTTGACAAAGCGACCCAGCCGGGGTAATCCCGGTACTCGCTTGTTTTTATACCTCAAACGGCCCTTGAATACCTTGTGATGCATGGAAACAAGGGACCTCCAGCTTGACCCAACCTGGTTGACTGGGCGATACTGGATCATTTAATCAGGCCCAGTGGAAAAGTCAAGAGAACGCTTAATTTTTAAATTCCAACCCTAGTGCCCAGGGTGGGCTTTAAAGAGCTTTATGCGTCTTGGTGCTTTATCCGATCCTCGCTCAGTTTTATTTCCACCATGAAAACACCTTTCCGCATCAAAAGGGGAAGCAAAGTTTTCCAGGTAGTTGTTCTCGATACATGACTTTATTAGCCTATTTTTAAAAATGCACTGCCGATCTACCTACCGGGTCGAACTGTGACGAACTTTCTGTCATTTCTTTTTTGGTTTAAACACGATGGCTACAAAACTCTCAGGAAAAACAACAGCCATCATTCGGCAATAACATGAAATAATCCGATTCTATTGGTGGTAAACACTTTTTACGAAACTGGTGCTTAAATGGACCCCACTTTTCAGAGAAAATCGGGATTTAACTTAAAGGGAAGCGGGGAACGGGGAACAGGAAGATGAAATATGGGAACAAAACCTAACTTATAGCCCTATCGGTAACTTTATTTCCAGTTCTCTCTTTTTTTCCTATTTTTCATTTTCCCGTTCCCCTTTCTCCCTTCTATGTTTCAGTTACATCCAAGTTTTGCTCTGAAATTTCTAATATCAGCTTTTATTGATATAATTAGCATGCCAAGTAAATTTCAGAGGAATCGATGAGGCAGAAGTCCTTACAGCTTCGGTAAAACAGGCAACAAAAAACGTGCAACTTGTTTCGCAACATTGCTGCAAAACAAGTTGACAAGACACGTTGCGTGTTTTACCTCCAAGACAGGTTTGATGTCGGTGGTAAAACGCGCAACGTCGCTATTCAACTTGCAAACAAGCTGCATGCTTTTGGTTGCCCGTTTTTCCGTACCTTAATAAGAAAGTCATTTAGTATTCAGTTTTTAAATTGTTTTAGAATTTCGAAACAACGGAGTTACCTTCAGTAGGGGCTTCCTATACAGTGAATAAATACATTTTATGTTCAACGTGTAATTTTATTTGCTTGAATACCTTAATATTAAGGACACCAAAGGACTTCCCCGAGAGAGAACCGATTATATACAGCGCTCCTTTTCCAGTGGTTGGAAGCCAGCTATACATTAACAACAATTGATATTTGGGGAAAGCCTAAGCGATTTCAAAGTGCGATACTAAAGTTTTGACCTTCTCGAACATTTTAAGTGGAAACGTTAATAAGCGGTGGGAAGCGGAGATTTGCCAAAAGAGGACAGTGTTGCTATAATGCCTACGGAACAAAACAAACATGAAAGAATTGTTCGATGAGGGTGACTATGATTCCAAAACGAGGACTATTCCATAGATTGTCTAACTAGACCCAGCCGTATCACACTGGAGTAGACGAACAATGGATGGATCACTCTTAGCACCTTCTATGAACTCAGCAAGAGACAGCTTTCCGTCGGCATTCTTATCCATCTGTGTGAAAATTTTGTCTACCCGTTTCTCGGGCGTGCTCTCATCTTCGGGCATTTTCATAACGCTGCCTACCATTTTGTAAATCGCTCTGACAATCTCCAGCATTTCTTGTCTGGAAATGAAGCCGTTACCATCCAGATCGTACATGCTGAAAGCCCATTTAAGTTTCTGCTCCAGCTTGCCGCGAGAAGTCACAGACAGGGCGCAGATAAATTCGCGGAAGTCGATGGAACCATCGTTATTTGCGTCAAACGTGCGAAAAACGTGCTCAGCGAACTTGGAGGCGTCGCCGTAGGGGAAGAAGTTGCCGTAGATTTTCTTGAACTCTTCTACAGTAAGATTGCCACTCGGGCAGTCCTTAAGGAAGCCTTTGTACCACTCCTGTAACTCAGCTTCTTCGAACTCGGTTTGTGCCGTCAAATCGGCCAGCTGCTCAGGTTTGAGTTTACTGTTCTGCTTTCCCATATCTCTACCTTACTAGCATCTAAAAAATAAAGAAAACATGAATCGGTCATTTTGGAGTTGTGCGTAGAACAAGGTCGGGGTTGTGTTGAATGCTCTCATTTGATTTGTCAGCGATTATCACAAGAAAACGAAGTAGAAGGATCATTTTGCAACGTATTGGCCACGCTTGCGGGATACATGATGATTAGAGGCGCAACTGTCATAACAGCTATTGTACCCTGGGACTGTTTGGGCAAAGAATTTTGACCGGCCCGTGTAGCAGGCCCAAGAGTACATACAGGGCGCGCCGTCGTTGCCGTCGCCGTTATTTGTAAAGGAAAATTTTTGTACAGGCAATAACAAACAAAATTTTCGTCATTCAAGTGAAAAAATGCCTTTACCTCGGGCATTACGTTCGGTGACTAATCCTGATTTGTTTTCCTGGAATTATTTTAACTTTTCCTCTCGGCCTGCATGAGCAAAGCCCGAAACCCCTCCAATATATTAACAACAGCGCCACACAATTTAAGCCCTTAGCATCTGCAGTACAACTTGAAGCATTTTACCCGTTTAGACACATTTTGGCACGTGAGAAAACCGCACTAGTACGTTAAAAAACTCCACGTCAACTCAAGAGCTTTGCACATCAGAAAGTTCAATTTACAGATGTGCAGGTAGCCTGCGTGGCAGGCGTTGGAAAGGGGCGGGAAGGGAATTAGGACGCGAGACCGCGCGCGAGGAAGGAGGGAGGAGGGGAACGCGTTCTTTTCCTTTCTCTCTCGCACGCCCCCCGCGCTCTCGCGCGCTCAAAATTCCCCCTTCCCCTTTTAACGCCTGCCACGCAGGCTAATGTGCAGGTGTCACTTAAGGTTCTGTAACCCTAACCCTAACCCTTTAAATTCCAGCTGCTTCCGCACAACCTGCACCTACAAATTAAAACCAGCGTCTGCATACTAAGCAATCGAAAAAGGCGCGAACTTCAGGCAAAACGTTTTTGTTCCCAAGCTATTCTCAGACGCAGTTTCCAATTTTAGGTAGCAACCTCGACTTCCTCCAGGAAGAGAGAGAAGCCTGGGAACGAGATTGCATAAGACCTCTGTTTCCGTTCGTTTAATATAAGTGTACACACACAGCCGAAGCGCACCTAATGCGTCTATAAACAAAAACGCATTAGCGTGAACAAGGTCAAATATTTATGACAAGGAACGCCGCACCTGCATAAAAGTCCCTCAGCTTTTAAACCAAGAAGGGCATTCAATTAGCAATATTTAATTGAACATTTTGAGTCACCGGTTGACAATTTCTTTGGTTAAGAGAAACATTTAGACAACTCTAACCAACTATAAATAAAAATTCCTTTTAATGTGATTGTTTGAACAAAGTTTTCAATAACGCTCCGAAACGGTATTTATTAGTATTGAACGCAACTAAGTGCGAGAAAGGGTACATTCAACGAACAAATTGGCAGAAAAGCCTCACAAAGTGGTTCAAGTAGCTTCGTAAAATACTCGAAAATACCTTTTTTTTGTCAATCCTTTAGTTCTTATCTATCCAGAATCCGTTTTACGTCACGTGTTTTTAGCTCACTAATAAACCGCTTTTGTTGCCTCACTCGCTCCCTGAAAAGTTTCATGTTCTATTATCATGGACTTTGCAGCCTTGCTTCTTTCGTCATATGCAAAAGACCAAGTAAATTGGCTTTAATTAGGTGTTCCGCTGGCGGCCATTCGTCTCCCCGCTACAACAGCCACACCGGGAACCACACGCCTTTTCAAGCAGTTACTGTTCCATATAACGGCAATAACCGGCGTTTTATTGTCCCAAACAATGTAACCTATAGCTTCACAACGCCCACGCCATGAAAAATGCAACTGTTTTTGCCGAGGGCACATCAAAACCCCTTAATTACGTGAGCGTGACGACAGAGAGTTTAACTTATAATTAGCAGATATTGCCAATGACAAAAGAGAAAATTTGGTCAGTTGGACCCGTGACCTTCCATTAGTTTATTGTTTTAATATTGAAGGTTTTTTCAAGTCTTTTTTTAGCTACATTTTTTTTTCATGATCAATATTATAGCTTTTACAAAGTCTTATGCTGCAACTGGAGATTTAGAGAATCACATTCAGTTTTCACATTTTGGCTTCGTGACATTTTATTTGTTCTCATCATCTTTCTGTTAGTTGAGGCCAGTGACAATCTGTTAACCGTCAAGTGTGACCTTGCGAAATGAAGCTTTTACTTTATTTTACCCAATATTGGAAAGATGCAGCTTGCAACTTCAACTTCACACCTAAAGGAGCGAAGGTTTAAGATCGAGCGTTAGTTTAATCGACCCATCATTCCTTTGCTTGCAGAGTCTACCGTTGGCTAAATACCACTGTTTTCGAATCACGATTTTTGGATTCAGCTAACAAGTCGAATAAATAAATACTACTCCAGCGAGGTTCATTTAATTCATTCGCTAAATCACTTTTCAGTTTAAAGATCGGAGAACAACAGTCCGCCGTCTTTCCCTTGCTGGCTAGCTGTCTTCACAGACAATACATTACTAAAATAAGTTACCAAAAGAAACCTACTGATAATAAAAAATCTTGTACAACAATGGACTAAAACTGACTATAACGATAAGAAAACTCTACATTTGCCAATTCTTAACCCCGTAGGCAACAAAATGGGATATCTGCAGTCCCCAAAATGACCCTCATAATACATCCGTCTGTCCACAGGCACAAGAAAATGCTTCTTAACAGTGCTATATTAGGAATGTTGCCAAAACAATTTTCTTTAAAAAAATACTGGAACAAAAAATACTTTAGTCTTATGGGGCAGGTTCACACTGGAGCAAGCGTACGATGGACGGATCGCTCTTCGCTCCTTCAATAAACTCGGGTAGTGACAGTTTGCCATCATCATTTTTATCCATCTGTCTAAATATTTTTTCCGTCCGTTTCTCCGGCGTGCTTTCATCTTCAGGCATTCTCATTACAGAGCCTACCATCTTGTAAATCGCTCTGACGATCTCCAACATCTCGGGCCTGGAGATATATCCATTACCGTCCAGGTCATACATACTGAAAGCCCACTTGAGTTTTTCTTCTATACCACCACGAGATGTCACTGACAGGGCACAGATGAACTCGCGGAAGTCGATGGAACCATCGCCGTTGCTGTCAAACGTGCGAAAAACGTGCTCCGCAAACTTGGAGGCGTCGCCGTAGGGGAAGAAGTTGCCGTAGATTTTCTTGAATTCCTCTAAAGTCAGATGACCGCTTGGACAATCCTTGAGGAATCCCTTGTACCACTCCTGTAGTTCATGTTCCGAAAAATTCGTTTGGTCCTTGAGATCAGCGAGAACCTCAGGCTTGAGTTTACTGTTTTGCTTTCCCATGGTTCACAAGTGCACTGCACACAACCTGTAAAATGGCGTGCAACTCAGTAAGTCTTTGGTAGGACAACAAAGGCGAATTCAACGACTGACCACAATGATTACACCAGGAGTACACGTTACGTAAGGTGGTTTGGTTTCCACGGAGACGTAAAGAGAATCAACATTGAGAAGGATTAGTGTGAGATGTGTAGACTTGAAGGATTATTTCACAGACCTTGATTGGATTAGGATGAAGATGTTATCCACCTGCAGTGAGCCATTAGTGTGTTAACAACTGTTTAACTTACTGTTCCATTAGTGTTACTCGACTTCAGCCCCATCAGACATCACGAACGAACTGACTATTCTCCTTGGGCGTAGTTACTCTAGAAATCCACCAGAACCCGCACTCCATGTGAAACTCAGGGCATGAGCCTTAAGACTGACAAAAAAGATGAGAAGAAGCAGCGAAGACCAAGACCAAAAATAAAGCGACGAGAAATTCTACAACGGTTTTCCCTAGTTGGAAAAAAATAATTGCCTCACTTTTTCCTGACTTTCTTCCGACGTCTAAACGACGATGTTTGACTTTGCATTCAACATTATCTAGCTTCTTTTCCAGGCCACGAACGCTCTTCTCTTCATTTTTTACTTCTAAAGAATGTAGAAATTTCATGCGCAATTTTAATACCGTTTCTCAAACTCATTAATAATTCATTAAGAAAATACAAAGGAAATTAATGTTTAATGAGTGTTTGGAAATCGGATGAAACACTGCTTAGTATTTGCATCCTTAATTTCTCCTTCAAAAATGATTTTGTTTGAGAAGAAATATCAAACATTCGACACAGTGTTTCATCACCAGATGAAACACCT